CCGCCGATGGGATGCGAGTCAATTTTATACTCTTATCAATGTGAATGTTAATATGTCAATGTGAATATTCACATTGTCAACAGGCCAGGTCGGGCCCGCCCCGGGTCGCCCACGGGCCGTGGGCTAGTTTCGGGCAGCCACGGGGCGCGGGCTAATTTTATACTCTTATCAATGTGAATGTTAACATGTCAATGTGAATATTCACATTATCATGTTAACATTCAAATTGATAAGAGTGTACAATTGGCCCGTGACCCGTGGGCAGCCCGTAGCCCGACCTCGGGCCAGGGCGGGCCCGGTCCGTTGACAATGTGAATATTCACATTGACATGGGTCGGGCCAAGCCCGCCTCGGGCTCGGTGGATGAGTTGGTAGAGTGGTTTGAGGAACCACGGTTTCGTCCTCATCAACCAGACGTTGCTCGGCTGGAATAGTCCAGGCACGCTTCCTTTGGCGGGATGATGAGGGTTGATGAGATGGAAGGGCCACCACGGTCTCCTGAGGTTGACCGGCTAGAGGTACCTCGGTTGGGTTTGTTTCGGTGAGAAGGGCTCGCACGACTTTACCAAAAAAAAAAAAAAGTCAACAAAAAAATCACAAAAAAAAAAAAAGCAAATTCCAAACAACAGAAAATTAACATTGTTATCAAACAACCGGGTCGAGCCTATTTTTTTGGCTTGTGGGCCGGCCCGGCCCGGCCCGACTCGAATTTTCCGGGCACCCACGAGGATCGACATGGGCCGGGCTCCTACACATTGACGATATGAACATTTACGTTGACGGTGTGAACATTCACATTAAGGGTATTTTGGTAATTATGTCACCCATAGGACTTATTGAAATATAAGAAAATAATGTGAACTAAATGGAACATAAGTAGATGAAAAGGGTATTTTGGTCTTCTTATCTCAAATTGGACCTAATGGAATAGTCAAAAAGAATATGGGTTGGATGGAATAAAGCTCTTAGAAAATGGATTTATCAAAAAAACTCCCTTTTTTTTTAGTTTTTTTTAATGAGCGGAAAAGAGACTTATTAATGAAATCTAATTTAAAACACTGAGACAAATAGCATTAAAGAGTATCATAGCAAAACTTTTCAAACTCAATTATGTTGCCACTGAGAAGATTTTTTTTTTCTCTCTCTGTAGTCATAATTGAAAATATCACAAGTACAACACTTCATATGAAAATTCTTTGAACTTAGCATTATGATGCCACCCATTCCGGATCCAAGCACATCATACTTCTATAATGATTGCGAATGCCAAACTAAACAATATTTTTTTTCAACAATGCTAGGGAGCCACAATTTTTGTGGCCATAATGGCTTAAAACTGTCAAAACGACGTCATTTTGGCATGTTTTGCACAAAAAACGACGTCGTTTTGACAGTTTTGAGCCATTGTGGTCACAAAAATTGTGGCCCTCAAACATTTTTCATTTTTTTTATTGGAATATAATAATTTTTTTGAAAATAAATACAGAAGGCCAAAATGATATATATATATATATATGCATAATTACACATTCCAAACAAAAATGTAAAACCAATCAAACTATTCAAACTTGACTCGCATTTGATTTACTAAAACTTCATTTAAAGTTGATTCATTATGTAAATTAATCAAACATAAATTCATTTTAAAAGTTGTCTTATTTTCAAAACCAAAGATTAAATAACGTATATCTTGGCAAGCTTAAACAAAATTCGTTGAGTTTTCAAATGAAATTTAAATAAACTTCAATGACTTACATCAATTTAGTTCAACTGATAATGCATCTTGAGGGCCTGACGTTCATTTTAAAATGATTCATTCCTTTTTTAATATACCATTTTGTCATTGATTTCTATCTATTTTTTTAGTTGATGTCATCAATTGGACTACACAATGTAAAAAATTAAAAGATAAAATTGATATAATTAAAATTAAATGATCAAAATCAATAGATGAAATAAATTATAAGGATTGTAAATATAATTTGGCAAGAAATAAATATTATTTTGCCGTCGTAGGTAACAAGAAAGATATAGACGGAAAAAAATCAAGTCAAAAACCTGATTAGCATTGGCTTGAGTCATTGTGTAATGCTATCACTACAAGAAAAGTGAGTTTATGAGACGGAACTTTTTGCGACGGCACATTTGCCGTCGCAAAAAATGACTTTTTGCGACGACCCAACTTGTCGTCTCAAAAAATGTGACTTTTTGAGACGTCACAATTTGCCGTCTCAAAAAGTGTGACTTTTTGAGACGGCACAACTTCCCGTCGCAAAAAAATGTGACTTTTTGAGACTGCACAACTTGTCGTCGCAAAAAATGTGACTTTTGGAGACAGCACAACTTCCCGTCTAAAAAAATGTGACTTTTTGAGACGACACAACTTGTCGTCGCAAAAAATAGAGTATTTGCGATGGTAGAAATTGCTATCGCAAAAAAAAAAAAGAGTATTTGCAACGATACCAGCTGCAGTCGCAAAAAATAAAATAAAAAAGGAGGAGTTTTTTGCGATTGTAATACGTACCGCTGCAAAAAAAAATAAATAAATAAAATAAATATATATATATATATATTGTGGCTTTGAGACGGCTTCATATATATAGTCATAAAATGATTTAAATAAATGCAACGGTATTTTTCTGTTACCAAAAAAAAATAAAAATAAAAATAAAAAAATAAAAACGACATCGTCTTACTCTTTTGAACATTTCTCTTTTCACCTATTTTTTCATCTTTTTATCTCTCTATCTCTGTCTCTGTCTCTCTTCTCTTTGTCTCTCTCACTCATAACTTTTCTCTGTCTGTCTGTCTGTCTCTCTCTCTCTATGTGTCTCTGTCTCTCTTATCTCTCTCTCTCTCACTCATAACTCTTCTTTGTCTGTCTGTCTCTTTCTTTCTCTCTATGTCTCTGTCTCTCTTCTCTTTCTCTTTCTCTCTCTCATTCATCACTCATCACCCTTCTCTGTCTGTTTGTCTCTCTCTTTCTTTCTTTCTGTGTCTCTCGTTCATCTTTCTTCTCTTTATCTCTCTCATCTCTCTTCTCTCTCTCCTCTTTATCTCTCTCGCTCATCTCTCTCTGTCTCTCTCTCGTTTATCTATTTTCACTCTTTCTCTCTCTCTCTTTGTCTATATTTTTTCATCCATTTTTTCATATTCCTTTCTCTCTTCTCTCTTCTCTTTCTCTCTCTCACTCATCACTCTTCTCTCTCTGTCTGTTTGTTTATCTGTCTCTCTGTGTTTCTCACTCATCTATCTCTTCTTTCATCTCTGTTCTCTCTCTGTCTCTTTCGCTCATCTCTCTTCTCTTTATCTCTCTTGCTCATCTCTCTTCTCTCTATCTTTCTCTCTCATTCATCTCTCTTCTCTTATGTTTCTTTCGCTCATCTCTCTTCTCTCTATCTCTCTCTGTCTCTCTCGTCCATCTCTGTTCTCTCTATGTCTATTTTTTGTCTATCATTCTTTATCTCTTTATCTTTTTCTCTCTCTCTGTCTCTTTCTCTCTCCCTCCCACTGTGTTTGCATTGCTCACTCTCTCACTCCCGTCTTCTCTATTTGCTGAGCTCCCTCTCGATTTATCGATCCACTACAAGAAAATGCATTTTTAGCGACCACTTTGTCTCTCTCTCGCTCATACTCTGTCTCTCTCTCTCTCTCTTCTATCTGTCTCTCACTCATTTCTCTCTTTCACCACCCACCTCCTCTACTACCTTCACCACTACTGCAAACACCATTCCACCACCACCATTATTTCTACTGTCGCCACTTCACCTCTACGACTACCATTACTACTACTATCGCCACCACTCCACTACCACCATTACCACTACTGCCACTACTACTACCATTACCTCTCTTTCACCCCTGCCACTCCATTTACACTACCACTACCACAACTTCACCACTAATCTCTTTCGCCATCACCATCACCACCACCATCATCTCTTATCCACCACCTTCACTACTGCTGCCGTTCCCTTTCCTCTACCACAAAAAATTAGTTCATGGTTTTTAGTAACAAAAAAAAAAAAAATAGGCCGCAGAAAAATATTTTCATTGACTACAGAAAATTAACTTTTATTTTAGTGGAAAATATTTTTCATTAAAATATATATTACCCCTACTTCTACAAAATAAAAAATAATAATATTTTTTTTCATTAAAATAAAAATGAAACTAATAAATTTTCAATCTTAGTAACTAAAAAAAAAAAAAAATTTTAAAAAAATTCATTAACTACAAAAAATTATATATTTTAACAAAAAATAAATTTATTTAATTATTTTTTTTTATTTTTATTTTTCATTCCCGCCCCTTTATTTTTTTCTATTCCCGCTCCCCCCTTTATTTTTTTTCCCATTCCCGCTTCCACATCCCCCTAAAAAAAAATCCCCAATCTCAAACCCAAAAAATCCCTAATCTCTTCTCTCTCTCCCCTCTTCTCTCTCTCTCTCTCTCTCGAGATCGACGGAGAGCGGCAGACGAGGGCGAGCGGCGGCGGATGACTGCGAGCAACAAACGAGGCTACTGTGTGAATGGAGAGCGGCAGACAAGGTTCCCTCTGTTGCAATCATCGTCTATATGAGATGGCTGGCATTATTTGTTTTGTGGTCCCTTGTAGAGACTACTGGACAAACAAACTATGGTTAGGGCTTTCAATGTGAATCTATGTTTGTGAATGTGATGAAGCTTTGCTTAGGTTTCATATAGTTTGGGATTTGTTAGACTTATAAGATGGGGTTTCATATAGTTTTTGATGGTTTGATTAAATTAATTTCTCTCTCTCTCTCTCTCTCTCTCTCTCTCTCTCTCTCTTACACACACACATACATATATATATATATATATATAGATGCCCTAATATATACTAGAAGAAGATTGAAATGTATACATCTATAATACATATATCAATGTTGGGCTGCATTTGTCTTATATATATATATATATACAAGGAAACTTGGTACCAAATGCTACAATTTTTCCATCTGGTATGAAGACTCTAGCAGATTATGTCCACAGTAAAGGGCTCAAGATTGGGATTTACGCTGATGCTGGGGTAACAGAGTTAACTGACAGTTCGAATTTGACAAATTATAGATCATCAAAGATAACATATGTCAGTAATTTGTAAAATTTATGAGAGCTGATTATTTATTGTCCTAAAACCTCACTCATCATAACTAATTCTGTAATCCAACATATGTTATCAATATCTTCTCTCTTTTTTTGATTAGCAAAAAGAAAGGGTATTATTGATGCAAATAAAAGGATTCCCTAGCTTGTAAATTGTTCCATTTATGTATTATTGTTTTCAGGACATTGACTTGTGACAAAAGGATGCCTGGATCACTTGGCTACGAGGAACATGATGCCAACACCTTTGCTTCATGGGTACGTATGTATGTCTTAATTAATTGATCGATTATGCATTTTCATTATATTTTATTCATCAAATGATTGCATAATAAACTAAATTAAAATTGTATTATTTATCTATGCCATGTGTGAATCCATGCTTGCATGTAAGATTAATAAGATGTTGGAGGTGGGAAGAATAAAAACTATAAACTTGGGATTGTATTTGTTTCTATTTTATTGTTCCTTTGATACTAAATTTACTCCACTGGAGTCACAAGCTTGACTTGACTAATATGATTTTTTTTGTCCGTCTTTTTAAGGGAATTGATTATTTGAAGTATGACAATTGCCACAATAATGGATTGAGTCCACAAGAAAGGTAAAACGAATGCAAAAATTCTTATTACCGTTTCTTTTGATTATTAAAAAATACAATGCAGTATTTAGATAAAATTTAATTATAGGGTTGATAGATTATTCAATCATTTGTCATTGTCAATTAGTTTTATGTATTATGAAACTAGTTCATGTTAGACCAATATTGAAAAAGAAATTTAAATTTTTGTTTTTGTTATTATTATTATTATTATTTATTTATTTCTGGTAGTAGAATTAATGTAGGGACTGATACCAAATATATGATTACATCCTTGGTTGTAGATATTCGACAATGAGTAAAGCTCTCCTTAAAACTGGACGACCCATATTCTTTTCCCTATGTGAATGGTATGCCTTCAATTTTAATCTCCTTTCTTTAATTAGTTTAAAATACCATACAATTAATTGTTTTCATAACTATATTATATATTCATCAAAAAGGATGATCTTGTTTTTTTAGGGGCCAAGAAAACCCAGTGACTTGGGCAGCTAGCATAGGAAATAGTTGGAGAACAAATGGAGACATTAAAAACACTTGGAAGAGGTAAACAAATTAAAAACCCCAAATTCGATAATGTGAATTTCACATTGTCGCCATTTATGCTAATTAGAATAGCATGAATGTCTGAGAGGCATTGTGTGACATTTGGGGCACTTAAATTTTATTCTTCTTTTATTTTTTTTTTGTTTTCTGTGCGTATGTCTTTTGATTTGCAATTGAAGTAGCAAAACAAAGAAAAGGGTGTCTGGGCCATTTACATGGATAGTAATTTTCTTTAAAAACCCATTCTATCAAATTAAAGAGGCACAACGTGACTTATTCGAGGACATAAAATTTTTAAATACAAGATAGAGAATCAGAAATGTCACTAAGTAATGAGAGTATTAGTAGCATGGACACTTCTAGGGAGGACCTGTTTCCATTTTGAAAACAGTTTTCAGAGTCTCTAATAAGACCTATGTGGTGAATCTCTTAGCATGACTAAGGTTTGACTTTCTTGGGAATGCAACCCACCACCCCAAATATATTTTGAAACATTTCTAAGAGGCGTACATTATATATGGCATTTGTGGGATTTCGTCTTTCATATTTTGCATTTGTAAGTAGAATTTTTAGATATTTATTTACCTCACATATTTTCTTACATTATATGCATCAAAAGTATATGAATAGTAATATGATTTGGTGTCCTTACTGTGTGCATGTCCTAGTTTCTTAGGAATTGCTGTGTTAGCATATTTGTGATGTTGTGTTTGTCCCATGTGTGCGCTACATTGATGAGAGGAAAACAGATAGTATTCCTAAGCTGTACTATAGTGGGTACCAATCCTGCATGGCTAAGACTTTTGGTTTCAACTCTTGTTAAGAATGCTTCAAGAATCAAAAGTGGTGTTAACTCAAAGGCATCATAAACCATAAAAGGAACTTTTTGGACAAAAGCTTAAGCAGTGGCAATAATGGATTTGAACTTCTTAGGTGAACTTCAATCATATTGAAAGCGATATTTTACTGAAGTTTAAAATAGTGGTGACTGATGAACCACTTATGGGGTGTATTGTTAATTAAGATCATGTACAAATTGATTACAGAGGTTTGGCCCATGTTTCTATGACTAGTCTTATTTATGATCCAGATGTAGATTCCAAAATGTAGGAATATTTCTTTATAGAATGTGAAATATGAATATTTTTCTATGTACATAAGAGTTGGAGGTTACATATGTTGTAGCCTTGAAATAAATAATCATCAAATTTATGTCTTAAATTTGGGGTGACTCTTGGTTTTTCATATGCACATGGGTTTGTGTCTGACACAAATGATGGATTACACAAATGATGGATTAGTATAACAGGATATTACATTATCATTTCTGAGAATACTTGACCCTCATGGCTTGTGGTTTATCACATGATATTGTAGAAAATTTTCTTTTTAGAATGAGTTAGCTTCTTTAATTTGATTCATGTTGTTTGCTGATATTTAGGGCCAATTGTTCCAATTAATGCAACGTTTACAAAGTACAACACCACATTTCATTCGTTGTATCAAACCCAACAACGTTCAATCTCCTGGAATGTATGAACAAGTACTTGTGCTGCAGCAGCTAAGATGCTGCGGGGTCCTAGAAGTAGTTCGAATATCAAGATCTGGCTTTCTTACCAGGATGACTCATCAAAAGTTGGCCAGAAGGTAAAGAAATATGGTGTCATTTTATTTAATTTTTTTAGTTCTATTGGCATGCTAAAAATTGTGTAATAAATTCTCAAGCATCTGATTTTTCTTGTCTCAATGATCCTTTTATTTTTATTTTTATAATGCCCTCTTTTCATGTATCCTGCATTAGGTATGGTTTTCTTTTACTGGACAATGTTGCATCGCAAGACCCACTAAGTGTTTCAGTTGCAATTCTTCATCAGGTCAATATTCTGCCTGAGATGTATCAAGTTGGCTACACAAAATTGTTTTTCTGCACTGGCCAGGTAAGATGTACACTTTTAATTGACTCTGCAATCTAGTTTATTCAATAAAGATGCAAATATTTAGTTAATCCTACTAAGGCCTTCATCCTAGCAGGGTAAAAGTTGAAAATTTTCTGTGCATGTGGACGGGTTAGCCCACATTGAGTAAAAACAACTTGAGTTGAGCTGCCTTTTTGCATAACTAAAGTCAGTAGTAGCTTGATGATAAAATAGATATCACACCTTCAAAAATATCCAAATGGATACATTGCAAAATATTGGTATTTGTTTTGGAAGACCATAGAAAAATATATAACAAAAAAAAATGTTTTTTATTTTTGTATTTGATTGAGATGTTTAATTATCCATCTGGGATTTGATGACTAACAAAAAAAATATTGTATTTGATATTATAGTAGTTAAATTTTTATGTTTTTTTGTAATTAACATTAACACATAATTATATTGTCATTAATTATTTTTATTTTTATTTTTCAGATATTTCCCATGTAAGAGTGTGCTTCTTGTGGAATGCATGCCTGTGGAGAATGTGGCTAACTTTTGTTTTTGTTATCTACGAAGAATGATGAGAAAAATATTTAATTTTGGTTTATGTTATTTTGAATTATGAACAAAATAATGTATTTAAACATTATAAATGTATTATGGAACATTATGTAGTGCGATAATTTTGTTGATGTGTAATTATGAATGGAAGAATATTTTATTATGAAGAAATTGTTATTTTTATATAGGAATTTTTATATTATTATGGAGAAATTTTAATATTTTTAATAATTTTATCGCAGGATGTTTTTTTCTTTTTTGTGACGGTACTATACTGTCGCAAAAAATAGAAAATTTTAATATTTTTATTGATTTTGTTATAGGTTTTACTTTTTGTGACGGCACTAAACTGTCGCAAAAAATTAAAAATTTTATTATTTAAAATAAAATTTTTATTATTTTTTAACACTTTTTGCGACAGCAGTACACAGTTGCAAAAAATAGAAAATTTCATATTTTTAATACTTTTTGTGACGGCACCACCCCGTCGCAAAAATACTGTTCTTGCTGTTGCAAAAAAAAGACTATTAGCGACGGTATTTTTTGCCATCTCAAATAACATTTTTAGCGACGGTAAAATAGTGCCGTCGCAAAAAGTCAAGAAATTTCAAACATTATTAGCGACTGCAAAGTGTCGTCGCAAAAGGTAAAAATGCTGTCGCAAAACATTAGTGACGACTGCCGTCGCAAAAACTCTTTTGCAAACCCCTTTGTTGCGACCCCTCACTTGCAGTCGTAAAAAGCCACCTACCGTCGCAAAAAACCTTTTGAGACGGCGTTTGGGGTATTTGCTACGGCGTTTTACCGTCGCAAAAAAACAATTTTTTTGTATGCCAAGTTTCAATAATAATATTATGCCATATCGTTATTTCAATAACATTTATGCTCTTGAGAAAGCTATTGATAAGGCATAATCAAGGAGAAGTTATTTGGTGGTTTTGAAATATTATTCTATATAATTTATATTTGGATAACGTCATATTGTCTCTTCAAAAGAGATAAAATAAATGGTGGGACTCACTATTGTAACTAATAATAAGCACCACTTAAATTTGTTCCCTAAGCAAATTATAATTTGTCGTCATTTAAAGAGCGTTAATCAACAATTGAACATGACTTAACCCTATATATATATATGTATGTAACACAATATATATATGGAAGAAATTATAAATTATCATAAGGTTGGCCTAATCTACACATTCATAAGCCTCTTATTTTCTTTTTTCGGCTTGATCTGGGCCATGACATTGTGATCAAGGGTGTACTTAGTCAATAAGGGTCGGTATTGGGCCGGATTGACAAAGATATTATCCAAATGTGTCAGGATTGTTTTTTGCCAAGTTAGCCCAACGCTAAAAATTCAAGTTCCACTCAAATGAACTTGCCAACAAACTGTCTCTGACGGGCCAACAAATCAAGCTTCAGTACCTTAGATTCAGCCGTAACCCAAGCCTTATGTGATTTGGTCTAGGGTACAAACTTGGACCAAGTAAATGTATGGTGGACCGAGTATCTCTAATGTTAATAGACATTTTATCTAATCAAATATTATTATAAAGTATACATTTTATTTTATCTGTTAATTTTTTTTTTATATTTCTATCCAACTATGCTCTTTATTTTAACTATTTATTTAAATACTATTTATTTTATAAAATGCCAATCAATAACAAATATGGAGGGAAATAATTTTAAAGATTAAATACATTTTGCCTAACTTTTGAAGGCTAGCTATATGTAGCTAGTGAATGTAAATTGAGGCAAAATGCTTAATTATATGCTTAGTGAATTGGAGTTGAAAAAGTGAGTTATATTAAGTATTTTGGCTAACATGCGTTATATACATAGGCTTCGTTTGGAAAGTGGGTTAGCTTTTTAGCTTTTTGGCTATTTTAGCTTGGAGCTAAAAAATCTGGTTTATGAAGGGTTTTTGACTTTTTTGTTAGAGAAAGAATGTAATGATTATAGGTTGGATGTGATGTTTTGCCTTATTGGACTAAAAAACTTATTTTGTTTCTTGTGGCTATTTTAGCAAAAAAATCTTCAAACCCAACTTCCCAAACATAGGCATAGTAGGTTGGAGATATTCTCACTACAACATATAAGACTTTGGGCGACCAATTATTTTGGTCCCTAAAATCATTATTTTGGTCTAAATGATTTTTGTGACCAAATTAAATTCGTCACTAAAAAAGTCACTAAAAGTGCGTCTACAAAAGTCTTTAGCGATGAATTTTTGAAAGTGTCACTGAAAATGACAATTAGCAACCAATTTTATATTATCACAAAATGTTTGATATTACAAGACTAAACATTTAGTCGCTAATACTTCGTCACAAAATGTCCTAATTTGGTCGCGAAAAACAAAATAATGGCATTTTTAACGACAATGATATTTGGTCGTTAAAAGACAAATAACTTTCTCTACAACACATTTTCGTCGCTAAAAATCAAAATTGAGAATTTTGTAATCATTTAATTTCATAGCTAAAAATGCACAAAATTAAATGTCATCCAATTATATTAAAAAAAAAATTGACATCCACACATCAAAGGCACTCTATCCCCAAACCATAATGAGTATACAAAAAGTAAGATTTTACAAAGATTAAAACTGAAAGTTTTCAAATTCAAATCAAAGTAGTAACAGTTCAAATGAAGAATAGCAACAGTTTCTTCAAAGAGAATCTCTAAAAAAGCATTTTCTCTACATCAATATCATGCTTTATATCAGACAACCTTAGTACAAGAGGCTTCAAGTTGTACTTAGGTGTGACACCCTTTGGACATCACTGCAACCCAAAATTCAAAAGGAAGAATCAAATAATAAGAGTTAACACAACATAATCTCATTAAATAATCAACAGTCATTCATAATCAAATAAGTTACAAATAATGGAAAAATACGTTATCTCAGTGTACTTGGAGTAGTAGTGAGCTATAATAAGAATCAACACAATAAGAAAGTGCATAGAATCACATTAATGCTTTTTGAAACTTGGTTTCAACAACTAGACTCTGCAATTAGTAGGACGTTCAGTTGTTCTTTAGTTACTATTAGAACAAGCTATCTCTAATTTATGGGATCTTTGTGACATAATAAATTAACAATCATACATGGACCTCCACCGAGGGAGATTTGTATATCTGCCTATATCTATCTTGTTTACAAGGGGAGAGACAATAAATATTGTAGGGTGGCGAGGGTAATTCTTGGTATGTTGTTTCATGACAAATTCAAAACTAACCAAAGGAAAACTAACCCCACAAATTCAAAACACTACAACATTTAGTTGAAACATTAGTAGATTTTTCTAGCTAAATGACCAGATTTAGGCCGAGGCATCATAAAAACTCATACAATTTGAGGTTTAAATATCATTATTGTCTAAGATTAAACCTTGATCTCTGTGAAGACAAGGCATGGACCCCATGTCTTTCCATTGACAAACTGGGGACTAATCATATTTCAATTCTCACCTGCCTATCATTCGCACTGCAAAATACCAAAAAACAACAATATCATATTAATGCTGAAACAAGTTTTTCAATCTACTTCAGTATTGCCTTAAAATATTTTTGTTACATGATATGCCCACTACTAGCACAAGAATCCACATTGGACCAATATAACATTTTCATATTTCATCATGCTTAGGTTCCTATTAGAAGCCAGGGAAGCAGAGGTACGAGCATATAGAACATATCATGTTCAAACAAGGACACATATTTCATCATCCAGTATTAAATATCCTAGAAATATAAGGAGGGCGTCTAAATATTTTCCCTTTGCTCTGGCAAAGCTCTAAGTTAATTTGGTGTTGCTTTCTAGTACAATTGTTAATACAACTTCCCAATATTAGGTAACTCACTCTAAATTATCCAATTATTTTAAGTTTCAATATGACGTCTAACTCCAACCAAAGTATCACCATTTTTTGAAGTTCTCATGAAATAAATCACATTTCTATATTTAGATTTCTTAGCTGACATGAATGCCCAGATATAAGCAATGTAATTTGTAAACTTGGTCACTACTTCTTCCAGTCAATCCATCTAATTATTTGAAAATGGATGAGGAATTTGAGAAAGATTAAAATAATGGGAAAATAATCAATGGGAAAATCATTCAAATATAATCAATGGGAAAACCATTC